TTGGAGCTCATGATATGACTACTGTGTAGAATAAATCATTTGCCCTGCGGGGCCTGGGACAGAAACTAAGCCTTTAGAAGTCCACTTGGCTGTAGGCCTTGGGCTGTTCCTTTAACAACTTTATTGACAGTAGAAGTGATATTTTAGTTTCCAGCTTCTAGAGTTTTATGTTCATGTAAATCTAGAACTCAGGGGTGGGAGGGGAGTATGGAATTTCTTTGACTTCCCCCAAACTCCACAATTCTTGTTTATGCTTCAAATATTTTCTCTGCCCTTTAAGACCCAGACCAATTGCCATCCTCGATGCCTTCCCAGAAGTGAGCATGGCCTGCCTTTGCTCCAGGTACTTACAGGTCTTCCTCTGCTCTTTGTCAGACACTTGTGGAGTCCAGGTTTAAAGTTTTCTGTGGCTTTATCACCTCTCACTTATACACAGCATAGACTGTCTTCAACGTAATGACTGGGTTCCAAAACAACCCAAGCCAGGCATGGTGGTGCATGCCTGTGATCCCACCATTGAGAAGTAGAGGCAGGAGGGTCATGAGCTAGATGACCTGGCCTATGTAGCAAGTTCAAAGCCAATCTGAGCTATGTATTGAGACACTGTCTCAAAAAACTAAGGGTTGGGAAGGTAGCTGAGAGGTAGAGTCCTTGCCTAGCATGTATGAGGCCCTGGGTTTCATCCCTATACCACCATAAAAAATAATAATATAGTAATACTAAATTCAATAAATAGCAGCAATCCAAACTTCTTTTGCATGTTCTACACTGACACTAAAATGTTACTTTCCAAACTCAGCATCTCAAACATCACCTGAGAAAGTGGTCATTCTAGCTATCCCACAGCATGTTGGTACCAGCCACCTCTGCCTTGTGTCGTCACTTTCATCAGCAGTGCCTGTTTTATTACACTTGAATATTTAATACTGTATACCTAAAATAGAGTGTGAGTTGTATGCTATGTGTATTTTACCACAACACATGGAGAAGAATACAGTGAGTCCTTTGGTCTGGCATGTGTTTTTAGCACTTAGTAAGATTCTGGTTACAGGTTTCCAATGAGAACTCCTTTTAGCAAAGGGGAAGAATCTAAAGATGGTGGAACCCAAGGGCAGGAATGCTGAGGCTCAGGAAGAACTACCGTCTGGACGTGAAGGCCTGAGGACACTTCCTTGTCTCTGCCTTTCTGTAACTGTACGGTACTCTCCTTCCTTCTGCGGCCTGGTCTCCCTGTCTCTCTGGTCCATGAGACAGACTGTCATACAGTGCCCATGGAGGTCAGAAGAGGGTGTTGGATCTCCTGGAACTGGAGTTACAAATGATTGGGTTCTGGGAACTGAACCCTGGTCCTAGCCACCAATCAAACTCAGGGCAGGAACCTGGAGCACAGACCATGGAGGTATGCTACTTACTGGCTTACTCCCCTGGTCCCTACTCAGTCTGTTTTCTTACTCAATCTAGGACTACCTGCCCAGAGGTGGCATCACCCACAGTGGGCTGGGCCCTCCCATATCACTGAGCAATCAAGAAAATGCTTTACAGACTTGCCCACAGACCAGTCTGATAGAGGAAATTCTCCAAATGAGGGTCCCACTTCCCAGTTGTGTCAAGATTGCAACTAAAGCTGTCCTGCATACTATGTTAACAGCACCTTGCCTTTGTCCTATGTTTTTGACCATTGAGAGTCTTGGTACCTCCCTCAGTGGGCTTTGCTCACTGATCCTCCACCAAGGCCTTCACTGCAGTAGTTCCCTCAGAGCCTGTGGCTTGCTGAAGGTTGCAGGGCCATAGTTATCCACAGTCAAGTCTAATAAGTACAAACTTACCTCCCGATTCTTCAAGCATGAGAAACATCCAATTTCTCCTTAAAAAAAAAAAAATCAGTGCATCCCACTGTAAACACCTTCCTGCCAACTGATGGGAGCCCAAGGCAGCCATGACTATAGCTAGCCCCTTTCTCCACAGACCCAGATGGGAACCTTGGTCTTTACACAATGCCAGGGATGGGGGTCCTTGGTTCAGGGGAATGGCAGTTGCTTTCCACCGCTTACTACTGCCCAGACTCACAGGAAACCTCCCAGACCCCAAGGCCTCCGGGCCTCTGAAGGGAGTATGTCTGTGTCTTTAGTATCCCTCCTCACCAGCAATAACCCTCCCTGCCAGAGTCCTCTGTCTGTATAGTCCTTGTTTTCCTTGTTTACTCTTAACTCTGGTCTCCCTCCTCTGCCATCTTTGAGCTTGGACTTTAAAACACAGAAAGCTGGAGAAATGACTCCCTCAGTAAAGTTCTTGCCACCCAAGCATGAGGACCTGAGAGCAGTCCCTAGCTCCTATGTAAAAGCTGGGCATGGTGATGTGCTTCTGTAATCCCAACACCAGGGAGGCAGAGACAGGAGGATCCCTGGGACTTGCCAGCCAGCCAATCTTGACCAATCAAATCTGTAAGCTCCAGGTTAAATGAGAGACATTTTCTCAAAAAACAAGGTAGAGGGGGATGGTGAGGTGACTCAGTGGCTTAAGGCACTTGCCACCAAGCCTGACAAATTTTCAGTCCCGAGGACTCACATGGTGAAAGAGAGAACTGATTCCCACAAGTTGTTCTCTGACATCTACACTTGCGCTGTGGCATGCAACACTCTCTCAAAAAAACTGTAACAAAGAATGAGGTAGATAGTGATTGAAGAAGACCTCTGCCCCCCACTACACACACGCACCTGCATACACACACACACACAGAGAGAGAGAGAGAGAGAGAGAAATGAAAGAAAACAAAAGAAACCCAGAAATTTATTAATTGTCCCATGAAGCAAGAGATGTTCTACGCAAGGGGACACAGGTTGGGCATGGGTCCCATGGCTTCTTTTTGCTGAGCTTTGGAAAACTAGACATCATTAGTTCTTTATCCAAATAAGCCACCACAGCCACCAGTGTGCACAGCTCTTCTAAGTTCTCTACCCTAGTGGGGAGGGGAAGGTGTTGACCCAGATCCCACACTATCTGACATAAAGGACCCTACTACAGTCCCTGATACTCAGAGGTCTCCCTGGCAACAGCAGGACCAGAGTAAGGACACTCTTGTGCTGATCCTTGGGGGAAACAATGAGCTTTGAAGTCTCTCTTTCTCTTTAAAGTTTTCATTACACTTATTTATTTATGGGGGGAGATCATGCATGCCATGGCATACATGTGGAGGTCAGAAAACAACTTATAGGAATTGGTTTTATACTTCCACCATGTCAGTGGGTCCAAGGGATCAAACTTAGGCCATTAGGCTTGGCAGCAGGCACCTTTACTTGATGAGCCATCCTTTCAGGTCCTGGAGTCTCTTAACAAAGTAAAAGTACCTTAAGACAACAATGCTACACCAGGCATTGTGGTACATGCCTTTAATCCTAGCACCTGAGAGGCAGGGGCAGGCCAACCTCTGTAAGATCGAGGCCAGCCTGGATTATATAGTGAGTTCTAGGTCAGCTGGGGTTGCATGAGACCATGTCTTAAAAAAAAAAAAAGAAGGCAATGTGGTTATTTTAATAATTAAGTACTAAATCATAGCTTTTTGTTTGCTTGTGTGTGTGTGATGAATATTTGTATGCATGTTGGTGTGTGCGTGTGTGGGTGTACATGTGTGTGCATGTGGAAGCCAGAGGTCTGTATCAGGTGCCTTCCTCAATCACTCTTCACATTATTTTTTCATTTTTATTTTTATTTATTTATTTTATTTTATGCATGAGTATTTTGCCTGCATGTATGTAAGTGCACCCATGTCATACAATGCCCATGGATGTCAGAAGAGGGTGTCAGATCCCCTGAAACTGGAGTTATAATGTTTGTTAGCCTCTATGTGGGTTCTGGGAACTGAACCCCGGTCCTAGCCACTGAGCCATCTCTCTAGGGCCTCTCCACTTTATCTCTTGAGACAGGGTCTCTCACCAGACCTGGAGTTCACTGGCCAGCCTGACTGGCCAGTCAGCATCAGGAATGCTCCTGTCTCTAGCCCACAGCTCCCCAGCAATGGGATTATAGACTCATGGCTTTTATGTGGATGCTGGGGATCTGAACACAGTCCTCAGGCTTGTGGAGCAGGTACTTTACCACCTGAGCATCTTCCCAGTGCCCCTTCCCCAAGCCCTTATTTTAAAATTGTTTTTATTGTAGTAAGAAGACTTAATATGAATTGAACAGTGTGGTAGTGCATACCTATAATCCAGCACTCAGGAGATAGAGCCAGGAGATCACAAGTTCAAGACCAATTTGGATTTTTTATAGTAAGATCCTGTCTCAAATAAGTTAAATAAAGAAATAAATAACAGCAAAGATATACCCACATAACCAGTTCTTAAATATATAATGATTATTGTTTAACACATTTGTGTCAAAAAAAAAAACAAAAAATGAGGCACCATGGGGTGGATACAGTCTTTCCTAGAAGACAAAAGACTGACACCTTTGTGAAACCCTCCTCCGTGGCCCCCTGCCCTGGACTCCTGAGATGCCTGCCCCTCTTTAGGAATATAACGGCTCTTTCTTGCTTCTGTAAACCGCTTGATTGCTAGGCTGAGAGGACAAACTGCACTGACCCCATTTTGACTAGTTGCTTTAGGCAAGCCTGTCGCAATATCCACCTACTACCCCCACCCCAGGAGGCTATAGATCAAGAAAGCCCAGGCATATAGCATCCTTATAAGGTAAGAACAGAGACTTCTGGCCTCACAGATAACAGCACATTCCATAGATCTGAGGGTAGCATCCACCAATGAGAAACCCCCAGGACTGCATCCCTTGTAACCAATCAATTCAAAAGTGTGTTGGCTTGCGTGCGGGCTCCTCAGACCAATCAAGATGTAACTCTGTTATTCCCCTCCTCCCTTGGTCTAAAACCTATAAAATGCTTCCTCCCCCTGCAATCGGGGCTCTCAGCACAGATCCATTGCGTTGGTGAGGTCTGAGAGCCCGAGCTTAGGCCCGAATAAAGACTTTTTGTTCTTGCATGCCCTCTGGATTCTGTGGTTATTCTTGGGGGTCCCTTCTCTGGGCACAACACCTTCAGAGTCCCCCTTCTGCCCCAGAGCTCCAGGTTCCCTATGTTAGAAGTCCACAGAGGCCGGTCGGTGCCACCACGTCTTTATCTCAGACTTACCGCTGCACTCAGGCACTGCAGGCCTCCATCATGACTCAGCGAATTAACTTCCTCCTGCTCCAGGTTCTTATTCAACAGCTCAGATAACAAAAGATAAAACCCTTGGCTGACTCCCTTGGCCTAGGAGGAGAAAGCACTCATGTGCTTTGCATCTGAAACTCAGGGCAGGGTGGCCTGACCCAGGAGAAGGTGTTGATAAGGTAAGGTATATTTGTAGAAATTTCTACATTCACATATGATCTTTTTTAATTTTAAAAATTGATTAAATTTTATGTGTATGAGTGTTTTACCTGTAGGTATGTAAGTGCACCCATGTGTGCAATGCCTATAGGGCCAGAAAAAAGTGTCAGATCCCCTGGTACTGGATTTATTACCCACCATGTGGGTGCTGAGAACCGAACCTGGGTCTCTGTAAGAGCATTGGACTAACTGGACCAGGTGCTTCATTAAACCATTTGGTGAACTTTCCACTTTCTTAGTTTTATGTCTTTATTAACAGTCAGACATTGTGAGTGGAAAGCATCACAGAGCTTCAAGACATTACAGAGTAACAAAACATCTCAGGGTAGTGAAAACACCACAGAGCAGTAAAACATTCTGAGAAAGATTCCAGGGTTACATTTCAAGGTATCTACCTAGCAAGTAAAACAAAGGAAACCTGAAAATAGTCTAAGCTTAGAAGATTTTGGGCTGGAGAGACGGCTCAGCTGCCATGTGGGTGTTGCAACCGTGTGCGTGGGAAGAGAATAAAGGGGCCCTGACTCTCTCCTGGGTAAATGCTTGATCTCTTAGTGGTTCGAAGAATTTTTCCATACCAGTGTGCAGGGATGGTTGGGTGCCTGTGAGCCTCCCAGCCTGGGCTCCTGAAGTGAGCCCAGGGCCTGGGTAGGTCCAGAATCAAGGTGGCATCATGTAAGCAAAGGAGACGACTCCTCAGAGGCCTAGTGTTCCTCTCAGGTGAGATACCCTGCCCTGGTTCAACTCTCACTCTCCACACGTTTGCTCTGAAGACTTGGCAAACATTGCAACTCCAAAGATGTCCTGTAGATCCCAAACATTCTATTATAATCTACATTCCAGAAACCCTGGGACCTGTGAGGGCAGATGATTCGTCCTAGCACGCCTCTGCTCTTCTGGCAGAAGCACCTCTCATCTCTTTACTGTTCCTACACATTGTGAACATGTAAGAAATTTGAAAAGCCCATGAATAATAATAATTGACACTAAAAGCCTTTTTAAAGCCCATAATTTAGAAGAAGAGTTGAGGAGTTATGCACCCCAAGAGGCAAAAACACAGGGGGTGAAATAGCCCTGCACAGCTCACGGATGCAGTTATTCACAAAATAGCATGCACGGCACATGGATGCATTTATTCGTATGCATGCATTATACACATTAATTTGGGGTCTTTAACAAACGACTTCATTGTTTTTATGTATTGTTGTTTCCTGGGAAAGGAAACTGTCATTTATATCTAATAACCCAACATAATATGACTGTCTTGCACACACTGATGTGTTCATTAAATGTTAATTAGATACTTATTAAATGCTTTCTATCAATGTTTCTTAGACCTCAGCATCAAAACCTTCTAGAAGTCTTACTAAACCCAGATTGCTGGATCCTGTCTCAGAACTTCTGCTTCAGTTGGTCTTGGGGGATCTGAGAATCTGCACTTCTAACAAGTTCCCAAGTGCTGCTTGAACAGACTCACATTCTGTGGATCATTATTCTATTATTTGAAGCTCTTAGTGGATCATTATTTACATATTTGGGCATTTCTGTGATTCACCAAATATTGGTGGGGTTTGGGATAGATTGGGAATTATCATTAACTTCTCTGGTTCATTAAAATGTTTTTATTTATTCTTTGACAATTTCATACATGCATGTAATGTATCCAACCCAAATCTTCCCTCCCACCCCCCAACTCCCAATACTTCCCCTTTCCAATTCATGTCTTTTTTTTTTTTTTAAAAAAAACATATTCTCTGTTTTGGTTAATGAAATTAATAGCTATCCTAAAACTGATCGTCAATTCAGATAATCCGTTATACTTGTGCTGCCAGCTTGAGGCTACCTGGGGAGTTTGTTGGGAGCCCAGTGCCCAAATGATCTTGGAACCCTTCTGCCCCAGAAGATCCCCTTGCAAGATCTGTGGAACATTTTCTGGTGGATGGGCAGCACTGAGAACCTGAAGCCTGAAGGAATTTCACAGCTAAAAGAGTGGGCACTGAGCTACAGCACTAAAAAGCTCTTTCCTTGTTAGTGTTTAGAAGATTGGCCAGGAGCCTGGACCTGGGGAAGCTGTGGAGTTACTAAGTGCCCTGAAAAGGTCCAGATGGGCAGTTTAAGGGGTCCCTGGCTCTTTTACTGGATAGCACTGACAAGGGACCGAATGGCCACCATGCCTTCTGCTGGGGTCTGAGGAGGGCTTAGTGCCTAGCTTGGATGGGAACTTCAGACTGCTACTGTCAGGGCCACCTAGGGCAATGAAAGAAAGAAAAGGAAAGAAACGATGCAGCATCTTTCCAGCTGTAGTAGCTTTAGGTTTTATGGCTGGCTTTGGGGACAAGGTTTTATGGCTGGCTTTGGGACAAGTTTCTGTGAGCTCCTCGGGGAAGGAGAGTCTGGCTTTCTGTGGGTTTGCTCAGAAGACAATAAGAGGTGAGCAGCAGAGGGCAGGAGCTCAGAAAGGCACTCTGCTTCTGAGGCCTTCACTGTGGGATACCATTTTCTGAGGCTTTAGACACTTTGAAGAGGTGAAGCAAGGTAGGGAGCATTTATGTGCCCCAGGAGCCATGACTCATCACTTCTTATCCCAGGAGCCTTTTCCAGAACACATCATGAGCTTCTTGAGTCAGGTCTGAAGACACAAGTTCTTTCTTGGTATTACATCCAAAGATAGGTACATTCAAGTTTTCATATCCTATGAGATGAGCTAGACAGAATTTCTAGGGAGTGAGAGCTGAGCCCTTCTACTTACTTCCTTAAAGATTCAATGTCCAATCCAATGTCTCTCATTTGTGATGTCATGGTTTGAATGTGAACTACTCCCTGCCAGGCTTATGTGTCAATTACTTGAGCCCCAGCTGGTGCTACTACTTGGGAGCCTCTGACAACTTTAAGAGGTGGGACCTAGTTGGAGGAAGTAGGTCAAACGGGGCATGCATTTGAAGGTTATACCTGGTCCCTAGTGCCTTCCTCATACTCTGTCTCCTGTCCATCATGAGGTGAAAAATCTTTTCTGCCCTGTGCTCCCACAGCCATGATGCTCACCCACATGTGTGGGGCCAAACAACCATGGGCTGAACTCTGAGAAACCATGAGCCAAAATAAATTCTTCCCCAAGATATTTATGTTGGGAATTTGGCCACAGTGATGGAAACGTCTAGCTGATATACTTGGTCTGCCCATTTGGAAAAGAGGCTAGCAATACCTGCGTCCTGTCCCCCTGGTACTGTCACGGGGTTCTGGGCTTTGAAAGTTAAACAGGAAAATCACTGAAACTTTGACAAGGAGAAATCTGTGTTTCTGTGTTTTGACAATATGAAACGTTCTTAATTCCAAGATAGCTCATTTGGTTTTTCACTGACCCCGTCAGCTTAGAACAATGATTGATATACAGTCAGCACTCAAAGTTTACTGAGTGAATTAATGTGAGAAAAAAAAAAAAAGAAACAGAACAATAGAATTTAACAACTGGAGGGTTCCTTAGAGAGCATTTCAAATCTGAGTGCATAAGTCCCAGCAAGATTCATATCTCTCCTCAGGCTCTATAGCCTGAAGGTGGAAAGTCGAACAGGCCTCCCAGATGGAGCCAGGCCCAGCTCTCACATTTGGCTTCTCTTAGCACGCTGCAGTGACATGAAACTGATTTTTTTTTTTTAAAGCAAGCTCTAATTATTAGATTTTTTTTGGCAAGGAGAAGAAAACCATTCCCATCCAGCTAGGAGCATGACATGTCTAGTCTTATTCCACTTTTAGAAGTAAACCAGGCACCAGCACTTGGAGCCTTTCTTGGCATTCCATGTTCTCATGCCCAGTTCACAGAGCGGTCAGAAAACAAGCATTACCCTGAACCCTTCTGTCACAGACATGACCCCACTGTTGGCTCTGTCAGCCTGGCCTCCAAGGACATCATGAACACTTAAACCTGTTGGCAGATCATCTGTCTTCTAGAAAATTTTATGGAGAGCAGTTGATCAGGGAGGGCTTCAAAGCTCTTGAGATCCCTTTGCAGGTTGTGTGACTTGCCATGATCACATAACTGACCAGTGTCAGGACCTCACCGCATGGTCCAGCCCAAGGACATTTGTTGCTCATCAACTGACCCTGGACACCAGGGCACAGGGTTTGGTGTGAGTGGGGTATGAGCAGGGAAGCCGGGCAGGCTAGATGGACTCTCTCTGGCTACAGCAGGAGAGAGGCCATGCCTGGGCATGTGGCCAGCCTTAGGTGTTCTAGTCTGTCCTGCTCCAGCCTTTCCTCAGCACTGAGCCCCTGTGCATGTAGGCAGAATTAAAGGTGAAGTAAGATGTCTGTCCAACTGCTGACGGGTTACATGGGATGGAGTTAGGCAGAGAGACATGATTATTTTACCTGGATCCATGTCTGTGTTGCTTGGCCTGTTGCAATCAGCCTGTGTTACACTCAAGTTTAAAAATCCAATAAAATTAAAAAGCAAATTATAAGAAGAGGTACAATATGATATCATGCATGTGAAATCCAAAGCTAGGGCTCTAGCAACCACTAAACTTTATCAGAAGACTGCACGTCAGCTGGGAAGAGCTGGGAACAGAGGTAGAATGAAGTCAAGGGAGGAAATTTCAACTCGACCTGTGACACTTTGTTTTGCTCCCAGTGTCCTGCTCAGCTTTGAGTTCAGACCTGTAGCTGTGACTGGAAGGGTACCCTTGCTCTGAGGGCCAGAAAATAAGAATGAACTCTATGGCTATTTCATATGCATGATTGCATTTTTTTCTAAAATAAATGAAGCCTGTATGTGGGCAAGGGAGGTATTCATTTTCTTGGGACCATGTGGCTTGGATTTGCTAGGTGAGGGCCTGGCCTGTGGCCACAGCTAAAGGAATTTGTCCTGTTGTGAAAAGCCATGGACTCTGGAAACCCACCTGCTGGGGAGTGCCCAGCCCACGGAGGCGATAGCAGTGTTTGCTGGGGCTTGCTGTGTTCCAGGAGCTGTATACCTCCGGAGGTATGCAATGCTCACAGCAGCCTGTAGGTCAGGGGCTTTATGTGGCTGGGACACCGGGGTGCACAGGAATATGTTGGGAATGAACTTGTGGAGGCCATCAGGACTGGGTAGGGGAGGGCCCCAGTTCTGTGCTATGGCTCCTGCCTCCATCTCAAATTGCTTGAGTTACAGGCCTGCACCAAGTCCGTACAGCTTTAGAGGGTGCTCGGAAGAGAACCCAGGGCTCTGTGCCTAATCGACAAGCTGCACTTTACCAACTGAGCTACATCCCCAGAAGAAGATGTGAAATTATGCATCTATAGCACAGGAGCGCCCAGTGCGGAGCATATGGCTCCTCCTACTGGCCTAGGGCAGAGCCTGGTGGCTTTCGTAGGGGAGCGATATGAGAGCCTTGTTTTCTGGAAGAGGCATTCTGGCTTCCAGGTAGAGAATGGTTTGGAAGGGCGAGGGCAGAGGCTCTGTGAGGAAGTGACTGCTGCTATTGGACACAAGAGATGATAAGGCGGGAACTGGATGTCAGGCGCAGGGAGAGAAGTAGCACAGAGGGTCATTGTGGGGAGTGGATGGGAAGTAGCTGCCAGCAAGGAAGAAGGAACCACAAAGGGGATGCTTGCTTAGGCTCTGCCACCAGCCAGTCTTGAGACCGTGGGTCAGTGGCATCGCTTCCCTAAGATGTGTCTCCCACTTCTGTAAAAGGAGGGGCTGGATGTAGCCTCTGTTGGCGTGCTGACTGTGGCTCCCGTACATTTCTGTTGTCCCAGGTGGGGAGATCCTAAAGCATGGTGGAGTGCTGGCACTGCCGCAGGTCCAGAAGGATGGCCAAAGTGGCAGGCACACGGAAGCCATTTGAGCCAGGAGAATGGTAGCACTGCAGCCAAAGGCAAGCTGGCACTACCAGTGGGGCCAGGATGTTGAAATCACCATGGCAGAGCTTGGTTTAGCAACATGTTTTCTTGGGTGTGTATGCCAGGCCTCTGGCCACAAGAACTTTTGTAGTTCTTGTTGTCAAGTTTAGGCTTGGGCTAGGAACAGGAAAGAGCAAACAGTAAAGCAGCCTCAAAACTGTCCCAGCCTCCCCCCCCCCCCCCCCCCCCCCCCGGGCTCTGCTTCTTGTGTGCAGGGAGTAGCTGGAATCGTCAAAAGGTACCTCCCAACCATCGTGTGCCAGAAGCCTGTAGGGAGAAATGTGCCTTAAAGCCACAGGGCATGGGTGCTTCTCCCGAGCAGTTCAGCTACAGATATACACACGCCTCAAGTGGAAATGACTTGAACTTTGAGCCGATTCCTTGTGTCTGGCAGGGGAAGTTCCATGAGCCCACACGCCCTGTCAGTGGAAGTGATGTTCCCAACTTTGCTCTTAGGGATATAGGTGAGAAAACATAAGTTAAACCGTTAGCACTGAGCTGGGCGTGTCATTAGTGCCCAGTGAACTGATGACTGTTCTCACAGTTGAAACAGCCTTCAGTGCTTACTAAGTACTGGATGCCAGGACACAGCGAGGGATATAGTCTTGACAAGTAGGGTTCCCAGATGGGGAGGGAGAGAAGAGGCTGAGTCCTGGTGCTTCTTACAATCTTTCCATCATTTAACTTGACCCAGTGGGCACACATAGACACCTGCCATCACACTGTGCCTACCAGCCAGGGAGGCAGAGGAGCCCACCAATT